TTGTTTATAGAAGATAAACCTGGTGGAATGCCGTACTACTTTTGAATAAGTCAGTCCAATGTACCAACATTACATGCGGCACGACATGGCTCAGCGATTACAGCCCGAATTTACAATCCGGAAGGTCCGTGTTTTTCACTGACCTTTGTTTCTTTAACTGTCCAGGCTTTGGCAACCTGGCAGTACCCCAGACCTCGTGCGTCTTTCCGGCGGCATGTCAGTTAGGCGCCTGAGGGATTATTTTATTACGTACTTTACCTGACCGAATAGATACAATCACCCAAAATCACTCAAAATAAAAAAATAAATCGCTAGAATAATATCTACGTGATTTCGACGTCATTAGTATTCAACGTCCGCAGTCGATTGACTGAGCGGATGACGTTTAGTTTCAAGCACTCACGGAGTTTTTAGTTTTTTTAATGTGAGAATTTCCAGAAATTTTATGCGAAGATAAGTTGGGAGCACGTACTTCCAATTTTCACGCCAATATTGGCGTTTGTCTTATTTTTATTTCAACACCTTTTATTTGCTCGGTTAGTCGTTTAAATGGTACAACTAAGGCCATCATGTCAAACATTCGGTTTGTAAGTGCATTTCACTTTTTGGTGACGGAGATTCTTGTAGAATCCTTCCTTGCATCTGCATGTTGTTGTGATAAGAACTTCACAGCATAGCACGTTGCTCTTGGAGATGTTATGCAATTGGGCCCCTGGATAACAGAATGATTGACTAGCTGTAGCGATTGCAGGATCTTAATTGAATTTGTCATAATTTGGACAGTGTCCGTACACACCGTGTCCTAATACAAAGGCCTCGATCCTGTGTATTAATAAGTGAATCCGTGAACGCGTGAATTTTGAAGTTGCATGCGCGCCTAAAATTTACGAGGGGGAATTATTAAAACAAGGCGCAAAAGTAGGCGTAGATTTGAGCGATTTTTGGCTGAAGTACTTTGCACCAAGATCCAACATTTGGCCACAAACAGCTTCATTCTGCACGCAAACCTTTCGTAGATAAAAAATGGAGCTTTGGATTGCGACCTTCTGATCTCTGCTCACTAGAAGCACACCAAAATTATTTTCACTGGAATTATACGGTTTTCGTAGTTGTGAATTCTGCGGCGAATTGGTCTAATCCATTTGCATGTTTCGGTGATATTTTACTCATAGAACTTTTCAGGTGACCAAAAATTTCAAGGTCACAGACCATCATTGATTTGCATTTTGTTGGCAATTCACACGCATTCATATTCTACCATATTTTGACGCTTTTGAAGAATGAAAATAGCATCTTCAGGCTATCCAGTGCAAATTCCACCTAGGAAAATCGGTCATTGACGTTTGTTTGCTTTATAGTTCCCCGGATTCAACAAATGGATTTATTTTGTTTAGCGAACTTCATCACAACAATTTCTCTTATGGGGCTCAGTCTTCATCAAGTGCCCATTGTCAGACAACTGCATGAACTACGCAGTGGAGATGCGAGGACCATCTCTGTGGACGATTCGCTTTCCCAAATGTGCACAACTAGCCTGTGGATAATACAGCGTCAGAAAGTAACAGCAAGTAGATTACCAACGCAATATTACCATCTCTATTAGGATTATGACTCACCATAGGCGGAATACGCTATGAAGCGGTCATCATGATGTCGACAGCCTTTGCCACACACCTCGGCTGCTTATCGTAATCGCTAGATCCGTGTCTATGCGCAACGCCGAATATGAGGCATCGACTAAGCCCAGTAGCCTAACCAGTGGCTAACGACGACTCGTCATACTCATAACCGTGCTTGGTGTCGTCTGCCGTGGCTACTTATAGTAACTACCGGGCCGGCAGCCATTCTTTCAACTGACTAATGCCACAAGTATACATACTGGAATGATCCAACAATCAAAGGCGGTCCTCCATACCCATAAGCGTTGTCCATCTATCAGCCCCATGTCCAAAAATAAGGCCACCTCTAACAAATGATATTTCTATTTATTAGTAGCGTCGACACGAACGTAACCTATGGTCAGTCCAGTTATCAGCTCCAGGAAATCGCTTTTACTCAGCAAGGTTTCCGAATGAAAAAACGTATAGTCAGTTACGAATCGCACACATCTTCCGTGATATTATTTAAAACACATAACTGGACAGTTTTAGTGGCCAGCTCACACAGTGCCCAATAAATACCTTTATCCACAATTCTAGAGCGGTATCCACGCTAAAGCTGGAGTTTTACTGTTGTAAAGGTAGCTTGACCTAAAGGTGCCACCTTGACGTGGTGGCCGTTGCTGTAGGAAGAACATCGGATTAGTGACGCCGCGGCCTTAAGGTGGTCTCAGGCGAACGAAACTCTCCCGAGAAAGATGAATTACTCACGCTTCATAGGTCGCACTGGTTAGGATATGCACTACGCACACCAGAGACCACCTGCCCCACAGAGCTCAGTTTTTCGAGCCCTACACTGAGTGTAAGCGACCGAGAGGTGGACAGTGTATGGCCTGGCAATGAATTATGGAACCACTAACCATTAAAATTAGTCGGGTGGGCACCTGTGACCTCCCTGTGTGGGAATCTCGGGACAAAAATAATCAGTGGTTAATGACACTGACGGGAATGGCCCAACGGCGCAGTCAGTGACGCTCGTGCATCGGAGCTATCACTTTCAATGCGTAGCTACCCAATTTCCAAACAAACTGAAAAAGTCGTTGCCTCTAAGGCTTGGCTGTACGTTTCACATTTCCATTTTCCAGTTGCCGAAACTGTAGCAGCTGGAACCGCGGTTCATAACTGATAAATTTATTGACTGAATTTATAAAGGTAAACTCACTACTTGCTCAATTATTCCAACTGATGATAATGAGAGAACTATGTACATCGGTTATTCAATATCAAGCTTCGGCAACCATGAGCAATATTTGGTACGTAAATTTGAAGCTAAACAAGGGTATATACCTGCCAGTCGCAAGACCAAGTGGCATAGACTTATACCCTAGGATCCAAGGACCACGTGCATCCACGGATGCAGCCGTAGTGATGACCTAGCAAGTGGGTGGGTACTTGGTGTGAAATTTGAACACTGAGAGCAATAAACCCCAACTTCATTCCACTTCTGCTTACCGATACCAATACCACGTGGCTTAATAGAATCGGCTCGTATCCGTGGTATACTCAGCTGCAGTGGCAGTCTTGTAAGCTAGGGGTTGCCCTCTGGGAACCTGATCAACTAACGTGGTTGCCTTTGTAATTTTCAGCATCTGGTTATATATAAATGAGCTTCCATATCCACAGAATCGCACACTTCTGGCCGATCGCCTCAAACATAGTATCCGTTACAGGGCTGTTCAGAAACAAGCATTTCAGTGCAATAGGGGCATGGCACTAAAATACACACTGATAGAACACCCTCAATTAGTGTCTTTTTACTCTCGACTGTACCCTCTCGCGCACTCGGCCCATTAGCCGTAACACGAACAAACTCATGTACAACTCTCAATGTAACCTCACGTTCATGCCTGACGGTATAGCCGTACCAATTGAGAATACACAGTACAAAGTGCATACCAAAGTAGGAGATGGATTTTGCCAATTTATCCAAAAATACCCGCATTTTTTCCTCCTCTCTGAAGATGAAAACGACCTCCACGTACCCCATATCGACATGGTTTTCGCTAGGCGTTTGAAAACGGGAGTCCAAAGGATAATAGTAAGGTCACATTCTAACCCACAACATTGTGCTTTCTAACAGAATTTCCGAGGCTTTTCCTATTTTGAATTCCCAGTAGAGACACGTCCGTCTTATTGACTCGTCTGAATGACAGCAATGAACCACCCTGCGCCCTGAGTGAGCCTAAGAATATCCTTAACCAATGCTGATTTCACTTTGTCATCATTCCTTGGCGGATCGTTACTGCAACATGTTCATGCACGGGGCTGCCCCAGTATGGCGTCGTGATGGCGGTGCCAAAAATGCCATATCAAGTTTAGTAGCTTGCCCGTAGTTAACCATGTCCCTAATATTTACCAGATGAGCGTGTTACTTGAACCCATAAGGTCACCTCAGTCCGTTTAATTTGTGCCAGGACCTAAAAACCCTGACGATTTTATTGCGCTATCTGCTTGTTCTGCTCATAAACAATATTTACCCCAACGTCATTATTGTTGGTTAATTATATTCTTACTTCCTATATAGCGTGTACTGGCCATGACAAAATGCGAAACAGCCTACTAGCTGTGAAGAATTCCTAGGCTTTGTTGAGCGAGGCGCCTGCCACAGCGACAAAAGATGTTTTCGTCTACAGACCATGAAAGGCTGCTAAATTTTGGGTTTGCGCCAATACATAGGGCGTAATTATTATTCATGTGGTTTCAAACCAATTTACGAATGCGATACAAAGGGAAACAGGTGAAGAAACCGGGTCTTCCACGAGTTTCCCACCCTCATCAAGCAAGCATCATGCGCAGCAACTGACAGCCATTATAAAACGAATTCTGCGCCGACGGAGGACCTCATGTACGTTTGAAAAACTTCCAACAAACTGCGGCCGCGTGAGAAGATCTTGAGGGACCGAACAAATAGCACGAAACGCTGAAAAGTCACGTTAACTTTTTCCACATCAGAACCATAGTTTCAAAGAAATTTATCGTGTGCGTCTAAAGATCGTGATAGTTTCCCAGCATCGCCTAAATGGGGCTCCAAAGTTTGAACTCTTACTCTGAAACCAATCGCCCAATTGCTTTAGTCCATCAGGGAAACACCACATCACTGGAAAGTGCAATTCCATTGTGCGAATACTGAGTGCCCTTTTGGGCCACAAATGGCATTATTTATAGGATGCGCCAACTTGCAGGCAGGCCGTGTGGTGCTGGACATCTACAAAAGATGTGGATTTCCCAGGAGTTCCATTAGTTTCGTAATCCTTTGGCCATAATATGGGGTGATGCAATGTATAGGCTTGTGCGTTTATCTTTCCTGAATCTATAGTTCTACTGGCGCCTACCTACTTTCGGCGCGAATTTTGCGCTTGCCGGAGTCCTGTCTACTTGACGTTTAGGCGGTTTGTCGGCGCCCACAACAACATGGGAACAGCGTATATCGTCACCGTTTTGTATTTTGAAAGGGCGTGAGAAATGTATGGTGTCATCCCGAATCAAAATGTCGGAATTCGTGCGTTTATTCCTATATGTGAATCAAACAATACCCAAGTTCATCCTAGTATACACATAGTACCTGGTGGTCATGTGTTTAAAGAAAACAAACTAAAAATTGCCAAACACTGCGGCAACCTTCCTTTGCGGTTTCAAGGGAGCATTACTGATTTGTCGAAGAAATATCTCGGCGGGATGGTGAGCTGTAACGCGGACACATACCCGAGTTACTCACATGCTCTCACTAAGAAGCGTAAAGCTCATGAGGCAAACTTGCACCTCCATGATGATTCCTCAGCACCGCAGATTCAGTGCCGTTACGCTCCTCCTTCCCCTGTTGGTTTACCTCAGGGCACTGGAGCTCGCATTGCCTTGAGAAACAGCACGATACCGGCAAAGCAGGTTCACCACGTCCCAGACTGTACTACTGGCCTCATCGTTCCTGGAAGCAGTGGATCCATCCCGACTTTCACTAATTACGCAAACCAGACTGCCGTAGCTGCTTCAAAAACGTGTCCGAAACCCGCAGCAGCACAGGGGGACTATGCTATTGTAGTGGGTGAAATGCTCCGATCTTCCAACGAATCCTACGAGGTTTTGGCATTTCTTGGCCGTGGTACTTTTGGCCAGGTAGTGAAATGTCGTTGCAGTTCGACCAAACGGTGTGTTGCTATCAAAATATTGAAGAATTTGCCATCTTACCTCCGACAGGGGAACGTAGAGATCCAGATACTTCAAACCCTGAGTCAACAGGATACCGAGTCACATAACATTGTGCGGGCCATCGAATGCTTTCAGCACAAAAATCACATGTGCTTTGTGTTTGAACTGCTAGAACAAAATTTGTACGAGTATTTGAAGTCAAACAAATTCCGCCCCTTATCCCTTTTGGAGATTCGACCTATCACACAACAAGTTCTGACAGCTTTGTCAAAGCTGAAGTCCCTCGGCTTGATCCACGCTGATTTAAAGCCCGAAAATATTATGCTTGTCTCTTCGACAACTGGAATCATGCGCTATCGGGTAAAAGTAATTGACTTCGGTTCAGCCTGCCACAGTTCGAAAGCTGTGCAGAACACATACCTCCAGTCGAGATACTATCGAGCCCCGGAAATATTATTGGGACTGCCCTTCAACGAGGCAATCGATATGTGGTCTCTTGGGTGTGTTATCGCGGAGCTCTTTCTGGGATGGCCGCTTTATCCAGGCTCTTCAGAATACGACCAAGTAAGTAACATTCTGAGATATTTATTTTCATCTAAACGCGTGCATAATGCAATTCCATCGTTCTTTCTAACCTAGGGTATTTTTAACCCCAGCTAGTGGCCGAAAAATTTACGTGAAATTACTGTCTAGTCGAAGATGATGGTGACGCCAGGAAGTTGCACGGCTGGATCATCACCCCGTTCACGCCCAAATGCCTTTCAACTCAATTGGCTTTCAGAATAGTTTGACCATTCGACTAAGCAAACCTCTTGGGGTATTTTGGGAAACGGACGTCTGTTTTTACCTTGGCTTTTGTACCCAAAAATTTCGAATTTACATGATGGAGGGCCCCGACGCAATCAAAGTGTTTTGTTCCGACGCCATTGGATTAGAATCTGGAGCTCACCTTGGCGTGACTGTTTATGCGTCTCCGTAACCTTTTGAGGTTTACTGGGGGGAGGAGGTGGGCTTCCTTGCAGCATTCTTGGTCTCATACCAGGTTGGTCAATGGTTAGAGCTGAGCGACTGGATTAGAATCTGGAGCTCACCTTGGCGTGACTGTTTATGCGTCTCCGTAACCTTTTGAGGTTTACTGGGGGGAGGAGGTGGGCTTCCTTGCAGCATTCTTGGTCTCATACCAGGTTGGTCAATGGTTAGAGGCTGAGCGACACTGGCTCCCGGTTCCCCAGATTCGTGACTAGAGCGTTTTTGGGAAATGTAGTGCACTGGCATTTTTCGTCAGACCACTGTTTTGTGGTTGGGCTTATGAGCCGTAGGCTCTAACTAGGGTGCCCTGACAGTATCCCAGCCACTGTACAGCCGTGATTCCTACAGCCGGAAAATGCTGTACTGCAACGCCAGCCGTCACGCGGTGCCACCAACCGGGTCGCTTCAATTGTACACACGAGGGTGAATAAGACCAAATAGGCTACTGCTGGAACCTCTCTTGCTTCACACGTGTTCTTTCTCCCCCCTACCCAATCAATGGCACACCTTGTAGGCTAATCTGTTAATAGTGACGATCCCCTTTTTGTATCGTTCCTGGCTGCAAGGTCTGCGGGTCAGTCGGAGCCGATAGCCTCAGGTATATGGAAACCAATCTCCAGGTCTTGACGCATTCTGAAACAATCAGGACTATAGGCTGCTCTTGCTCTCACAAGTGACTCGTTTGACATTGCTGTGCGCTTCGTACCAAGAAAAATAGTTCAAGATCCAAACACAGCCACTGAACTAACTGCCATATCACACTCCACTAGCCTCCGACTGTGCATCTGGCGATTTAGAGGTCGCCGTTGCAGGATGTGAAAGGGTCGGCATTTCCCAAGTCACCGGGAAGGGGGTTCCTTACTTCGGTGGATACCCGTTTATACTCACCTCTGCGGTGCGTTTGGCGCTCCTAATTTCACGGCCGTGATAAAAGTCGACTTTTTGGAGCTTTGCTTTCAACCATTAAACGTGACGCTGAAAAAGCACTGGCGATTTCAGGGCGTTTGCATGCCAGCCAATGGACCTCGGCGTGATCATTGATGCGAGTTTCCACTTCGGTTTCAGACGATAGTTCATCCATACCAGTACTCCTAGAACATCTGGGAATACGATCTCACTTCGACCCAATTGTATGACACCTAGCTCTTTTCTTCAGACATATTTGAAAATAGAGTACTTACAGCAAGTACCGAAGTAAAACCTCTCCACAGGCGAACAACTTGCAGGTTGTCCAAGTGTCCGTTGAGGGATCACTCTCGAGCGTTCCGTATCTGAGGCAATTCCAAACCCAAACAGACGTAGATGTAATTGCTTGTCTTCGATGATGGGGTTCTCCGAAGCACTGCAAATTTTCATGGGAACATCCAGTTAGCAATGATGAGGAGCGGCGAATGATCTGTTGGCAACAAACTGACTGCTTGTCATACCGACGAGTTTATTCGACTGTACCAACTACTAGGGCTCCGGGACGTGCTCCGTATGCAAGGTGAACAACTCATCATCATCATCGACAGCATGACATTAGTGTTCAACATCGATGCTTCCCTGCCGCACAACCATGACTTATTTGAAAACCTTATTGTAAAGAAAAGGTGAACGACTGCCTCGCTGAGTCATGTTTACTGAGGCAGGTTCTGACCGGTAGATACCACAAGATGGGCAGCGCATGACTTAGAGTTAGAGCATGAAAAAAAAATAAAAAGGGGTCTTGACTGTTCTGGTTCAAGTTGTTTGCGGAGTCGAAGTATCAAAACACCACCAGATAAATGGTTGAAACTCACAGGCATGGTGATGTAACGCAGACGGTCGTATTGTTGTGTCTATTATTTACTGAATCACCAACCGACTGTCTTTAAAAAATGGTCCAGGCTACTATCCATCCTACACTACGCGCTTCCATACTCTGTGGCGGTCCGAGCCACCGTGAATACGTACACGGTGTGCAGTTATGAAAATGAACTCAATTGAGATCGAAGCACCCGGTAAGTCAAGTTTAAGTTCGACTAGTAGATTCGTTCCTAGGCTGTGGGATAATTTCATTCAGAGATAGATCAACTTTTTTTCCTGACCAGCCGATACAATATCGTCAGTGGGTGCGTTGAGGCATGGCAGCAATCAAAGGTAGCTGCGCTCACGACGTTCAAAGTTGCTCATCCGAATTATTCTATGCAACCGAGTGACCGTTAGATATCGGGGCGAAATGACTCAGTGGTTAGAGCACGAATTTACTGATCGCAAGATCCCTGGTTTGAACTCGACCTCTGCCTCTCGACTTCCCCTGTCTAGACTTGGGTAACCTGGCAGTATCCCAGCCCTCGTGACACTTGGTAGCATGCAAAAATGGTCCAGGCTACTATCCATCCTACACTACGCGCTTCCATACTCTGTGGCGGTCCGAGCCACCGTGAATACGTACACGGTGTGCAGTTATGAAAATGAACTCAATTGAGATCGAAGCACCCGGTAAGTCAAGTTTAAGTTCGACTAGTAGATTCGTTCCTAGGCTGTGGGATAATTTCATTCAGAGATAGATCAACTTTTTTTCCTGACCAGCCGATACAATATCGTCAGTGGGTGCGTTGAGGCATGGCAGCAATCAAAGGTAGCTGCGCTCACGACGTTCAAAGTTGCTCATCCGAATTATTCTATGCAACCGAGTGACCGTTAGATATCGGGGCGAAATGACTCAGTGGTTAGAGCACGAATTTACTGATCGCAAGATCCCTGGTTTGAACTCGACCTCTGCCTCTCGACTTCCCCTGTCTAGACTTGGGTAACCTGGCAGTATCCCAGCCCTCGTGCTTCCTTCAGGTTGCACGGCAGTTAGGCACCGAAAGGGTGCTACAGCTGAGCGCTTTCTTTTTTGGTAGCATGCCAGTTGGGCACCGAAATATTTAACGTAAGAACTCGGTCGTGTACATCAGCTCTCATGGACGCCTGCGGGTCTGCAGTTAGCTCTTACCTGACAGGCAAGGCTATCCTCTCCCTGTTGTAGTCGGTACGATCATGAAAGTCCCCGTTTTGGTTTCTGACTCCTGTGGAGTTAAATTGTTCCCAGGGCGTGTACACATCGGGTACGCGGACAACAAAGCTGTTCTTGGACATGACTTCATCGAGATGCAAGCAACACTAAATAACCCATGTAATTCTGCTCTATGCTTTGGCACGCGCCCCGAGCTTGTGAAGTGTAACATCCGCACACTCTGTCTGTGAGCGGACGTCTCGGGAACAGTTCGACTCCCGAGGTTTCAGAGGCAGGTAGAGGAATTTCCAACAGCATATCAGTAACAAATTTGAAGAGGAAGAGGTGAAGCCTTGTGTTTCAACACTAGACGTGGTGAACTTAGGCGAAAGCTTGCCATATATTCGCACGCGCCCACAGGATTTCCCACACTGCCCTTATTGGGGCTATAAATTTGGAAGGAACACATCTGATTGTCAGACACTACTACAGTTTCTGACGATCGACGGGGTCAAAAGTAGCTTTCAAATCAAGAAACACGACTACAATGGGACGCTTTAAGCAGTGGGACTCTTCAAGAATATGTTTCAAGGTAAAGATATGATCGGTGGATCCTCGGCCGGGGCGAATACAGCTTGTTTTTCACGAATCGATGGTCCACCAATCTGCATAGAATGATGTCAAAAATCATATCGGTTTCGATGGGTACCAGGCTGATACCACGATGGTCTTCACATGACGTTTTTGCGCCCTTTTTGAAAACCGGGATGACGGTCGAGGAGGTGCTTTCGATTGATACTGTTTTCGTCCCATATATTGCGTATTACGGTTGTCAGGCTGTTCAGCAGAACCTCGCCCCTTTGAAGAATGCGGGGTGGAGGCCATCCATGCTAGGTACCTTGTCGCGTTAGAAGATTGATATCCCAGGCTGGACTTCTGTTGTTGATGGCGGGCTGGTGTGGACGCTGAGTTCTTCCAGCGGTTGTTGTTGTGTTGAAGGATACTGTCCTTTGAAGTGCTCATCCCATTGCCCATAACGATTGATAGTTGGAAGGTTCGCCTCCTGCTCCGCAAACTTGGACCCGCAGAGCATGATAAGCACGCTAACTATATTCTGCCAAAGAACCCGCGCGATTTCACTTTTGATGAAACGGTCAACACGCTTTCACAAATATTCGGTGAGCAAACGTCACTTTTCAACATCCNGGGGGGACACTTCGTGAGCGAAAGTCAATTTTCCAGGCAAAATTTTTTTAGAGCATACTACTGTTTGCCACTCAATCTTTCTATTGGCTTTCGAACCTGAGTATGTTGTTTAGTCATGCGAGAATCGCATTCTGGTCGGATAATGATGGTTACTTCAATAGTCCCTCCATTTCCAGGTGTTAGTGAATGAACATAAATTTCCCGTGTGTGCTTTGGGTGGTGTAAGGGGCGACCGACATCTAATACGACAATCACTTTACACTTCTAACGGACATTGGCACGTTTAAATTGCCTGTTTGTGTGGACGAATATTGTAGCTGAAATGCGATATCGTTTCAATGCCGCGCTGTGTAATTAGCCAATAGGCGAGAAGTACTGTTTTATCCAGACTAAATGTTTTGATTTTAGCAAACAGTGGATGTAGAAAGTTGACAACTCAACATTGTGCACCAACATTCGATGCGCAGTCGTTAGACAGCAGCGAGAAGAAAGCAACAACAAAACTACAGGGGTAGACTGAACACTACTACGGCAGCAATTGATTGGCTCTGGTTGTCAATAGCTGAGAAAGACCATGCGTTGATACGACTGGTCAGTTGCGCTGAAAGTGAACGCTCGGGCAACCTCCGATCAGACAAGCGGCTCGAACTGCAACCAGTGCCTGCGGTGGAGAGTTAAAACTTTCCGGTGAGCTCCAGTGCTGTGTATCTTTTCGAGGAACTACATTTGTGGGGTCGTGTTATATAACGGCAACTGAGTTGAACCTATTGGGTCTTGATTGGTTCGATCGCCTTGGGTTAGCCGACATTCCAATCAGCGTCGTTTGCAATGCCGTTCAGTCTCCTACAGCGCATCCAGATCATGCATCCGACATTATGGAGCGATTTCCAATTGTTTTCCATTCCGGTCTCGGTCAGTGCACTGCGACACAAGCAGTCCTCCACCTCGTGCCGGGAGCTACGCCAGTCTTCCGTCCAAAGAGACCAGTTCCGTACGCTTCCCTCCCACTGGTAGATGCCGAACTTCAACGGTTGGAAGAACAAGGCGTTCTGTCCCCTGTATCCTACTCTGCCTGGGCAGCGCCGATCGTTGTGGTAAAGAAACCTAACGGTGGCATCCGCATATGCGCCGATTTCTCAACCGGCCTAAATGCAGCTATCCAGCAGCACCATTATTCACTACCAGTACCCGACGATCTATTCACTGTTCTGAACGGTGGGTAGTTCTTCGCCAAAATCGACCTTGCCGAAGCGTACCTTCAAGTGGAAGTCGCACCAGAATCACGCCCACTACTGACAATCAACACACACCGTGGGCTGTATCAGTTGAACCGTCTTCCGTTTGGCGTCAAAACCGCCCCAGCAATTTTCCAGCAATTGATGGACACCATCCTTTCTGGCATTCCAGGTGTGGTCGCATACCTGGACGACGTGCTGATCGTTGCTGTTTCACCCGAAGAGCTTCGTGAGCGAATCAATGCCGTCTTACTGCGCATTCAGGACAATGGCCTCCGCCATAGCACACATAAAAACACAGCTTTTTCTGGGGGATATTGATATCCCCAACACTTTCGCATATCATTTCTCTGACACTTGTCTTCTGGCCGGTTGATCAAATCAGCTGGAATACGTTGCGGCTGTTGCCTGCAGCGAAAGCTTTTTCCATCTCCCGGGCTTTCGAAATCCACCAGTCCTCCTTGTCATTGTTCAAGGTTTTGATTATCCTGTGTTGGAGGGATCTGCGTGCGGCACCACAGTCGCTTGTTGCTAGCATGGCCTTTCCGGCAACACTAACATCTGCTGATCTCGACGATATCCAATGTTCATTTAATCGAGTCAAATGGCCTGGAAAGACATTTCTGAAAGCTTAGAACATAGCTTCTTCAATCACCTATTCGACCTCCAACTAATCTTCATCATCCCAATGAGTGTGCGTTTACAGTGGATTCCCAGCCTGATCAGCTAGATACTCTCGAAATAGTGAAACTTGTCGAACTTGATGAATAGAACTGTCCTGCTTTAGCATGCTGACGAAAGGCGAAGTGATAACCGGGCTCGCACAATGGCATAATCAGCACAAAAGTTGCTAGCTCCCGAAGGAACAACGATCTTTACTTGGGGTTCTCCGTCGTAACTGACAGCCTCATGGCCCGATTGAGTTCATGATTGTCTTGACGATGATCAGCACACAACCAAAGAAGCCTCTCTCCATTATCCGTACGCACAGCATCAACTCAAACTTTAACATCTAACTGTGCTCCTTTCAGTGTCCAAGTTGGGCATCCATATTATTCGCTAAGATTGCTATACCCGTCCTTCTTGCAAACGCCGTTTACTACGTCGACGTGCGTTAATCCTAGTTGGGGCCCAATTGGCTATAGTGCGAAGTTACTGGCCGGAAGGTCCGTGGTTCGAACCCGACCTCTGCCTCTCTACTTCCCCTATCTAGACTTGGGCAACCTGGCAGTATCCCAGCTCTCGTACCATCTTCGGAAGTTAGGCACCGGAAAGATGCTACAGCTGAACGAATCCTAATTGGGCCTGACAACCGTACAGACGGCCGTTTACTGGGATCCACCCCAGTAAAGCGCTTTCAGCGTTCGGGCTGAGTGCAACTCGCACACGAGTTACTACACCAGGATCACCAGATAACTGAAGAGTGAAATGTGGAACATTTGAGCTTGTCCTAAGCGGATTTAGGAGCACAATCCAAGTGGGGTCTGGTATGATTGTTTCGGAGGCACCAGATACATCGATGGAGAGAGAAAGCAGTTTCAGCAAGGGACGACTTTTTCCGAATAGGACATAGTGTACCGATATTAAGGACTGCAACGTAGATAAAATCTTTCGGGGTTAGCAAACACTTATTGTGATTCATATTTCTGGGCGAAGGTTTAGACATGGAGTAGTGGCTAGGGGCCTGGCAGATGGGTTGATTGCACTGCTTTGTATAATGGTTGGGGAGGGCGTGTGGGAGAAGGAAAGTGAGCGAGGAGTTGTAACGACAAATTTCACTTCCCGTTTGCCTAAGCCGGAGGAATGGGTTTGGCCGAAGAACCCCATCTTGAGCCTTTCACTCAAAAGTCTGACCCACAAAGCAGTGGGAAAACGTACGGTTTTGCTCGGGGACCCTTCCCCTTGTCTTTGACGCGAGTGTTTGACCCGCGAGACAACGGAATTTGGGGTTTTCTTGGGGTCCCTTCCCGGTGCCAATGATTCAATAGTCTAACCTACTTGGCTGCTGTGGACCGGCTTGGCCCGAGGACACATGGAGTAAGGCATTACTGTCTCACTCATAGTGCGGCTGTGCACAGCAGGCGCTTTTTCAGCAGCACGTCTATCTGGTTTCAAAAGCATTTCGGCCGTATTGTATAATGCACTGGGGACGAGATGGCTCGATTGGTTAGAGCGCAAATCTACTGACCGAAATTTCGTGGTTCGAACCCGGCTTCTGCCTCTCTACTTCCTCTGTCTAGGTTTGGGCAACCTGGCAGTATCCTAACCCTCGTGCTTCCTTCTGGTGGCATGGTAGTTGGGCACCGAAAAGGTGCTACAGCTGAGCGATAATGTACCGGCGGTCACCGTCTACCGTTTGGCGATCGGGATGTGTGGTTTTCGGGACCGACCTTTGCTAACCTGTCCTTCCTCGGGAGAATGCAGCATCGCTGATTCCATAAATATGTGCATGCTGGTTGCCTGATGGGTCACGTTACTGCCTTCACACTCTTTTCGCGGAAGACAGTACGACTTTATCTACAGACCGTCTCGTGTTATGATTATTCACAGTACGGGGACTCGCTGTTCTTCGTCGGGCTGCTCCCCGTTGGTCTTCCTGTTATGGTTGAGACTTTGATGTTTGAATCCCAGCCAATGTAGCCTGCAGGATCATTGCATCTCTGAAACCCGACCACCACGACAAGGTGACAGCACAAATACTTCGCTGGTCACAAGACCGTTCATCTCGCAGGACTGTTTCCGTCCAGCCCTGTGCCGAGTGTGAACGACCGAAAGATAAATAGTCTGAGGCTTGAAATCACTTACCAGTTAATTTAGTCTGGTAGACAACTGGCGTCTCATTAGTTGAGGCGTTCCAGGAATGGACTCACCGAAAATTAGTGACACGGCTTGGCCACATATTCAGTGATGCTCTTGTCCCAAAGCTACCTCATGCAACGTGTGGCTGTCTAGTTTCCCGCTTTGTAAGACAACAAGAATTATTCACTTGAATAGGAATACAGAGGCTGTGAGATACCGGATTGTCGGTTTTGTCGTTTTAGCAGTGCAGAGGTGACCATCAACGGGTATCCGGTGAAATGAGGACCCCTCCTCCCAGTGACTTAGGACAATGCCGACCCCTTCACATCCCGCAACAGCGACCTCTGAATGGCTGGGATGCATAGCCGGGGGCGAGTGGAGAGTGATGGGAGCAGTTCAGTGACCGTTTTTGGATTTTATTTCTTTTTGTACGAAGCGCACGGCAGTCTCAAACGAGGCACTTGTGAGAGCAAAAGCAGCCTTTAGTCCTGCTTGCTTCAGAATGCGAGCATTAAAAGCAGCCGGATAGATTGGGTGTCAAGACTTGAAGATTGATTTTCAAACAACAGGCTGTCCCCACATATCTTCTAGTCCCCAATCTGGGGAACCAGGAGGCAGTATTGCTCAACCTCTACCCATTGATCAAACTGGTATAAGAGACTGCATGTGTTGCAAGGACGCTCGCCTTCTCCTTCCAATATACCTCAATGGATCACGGTGGCACGTAAACCGTTCCACATTGTTAATGCTTAATTTATTGATGACTGACGACGGAGAGCCTTCTTTAGGTTGCGTCACTTCAAATCTTGAAAAATAATTCAGGAGCCGATTTATTTCTTACTTTCCGTTTACAGCATTGTCATAAATAGTTCCCTCGAAGTACGAATAAAATGCATTTTTAAAGCTCCTCGATTTTTGCGTCATTGTGGTGCCTACCTCGAAGGAAGCAATGTCTCGAATTGGGAGATATCTTGTGTGCAACCCAATGCTATTTAGACTGAAAGATGGTGTCAGTGGACTTCGTGCTGTCAGTTGCTTTCCAGGTTGTCTGTTTGAGCTCTTGGAGGTGCAGGCACCTCTGAGTGCTCGCGGTATATAAGCACCGAGTTTTCTTGTCCACTCTCGTGTCTTCTTTCCCTTGTAAGGTTAAATGCAATCAGATAAACCTCGTTGTTCTACTGGACCGAAGCACCAGTGTCACCGCTGATGTGCTATTTCTGATGGTGATCATAAAAGGTAGTTATGTGCCGATATTTCCTACGGGTGTGTCGCCATCGATGACAGAGACGCCGATTAATCCTAGTTGGTTGTAGAAAGATGGGAAGAACATGTAGTTTCCCAAATGAGTGAAAGCACCTCATTCGGGTACAATCAGTTCGCGCGAGCTTTTTCAATGTTTGTGAGTTCGTGTTGGTAGTATCAGCGCCTCCATCCTAAGCAGAACACCTAGGTTATTTTTTATTGGTCGACCTGGGTTTGCCATACACATTTACTATAGCCATTTTTAGCTCGGAAATTCAATATGTGGGTTATGAGCTAAAATAAGCAAGGCTGATTACTGAGGTTCCGCTTAGTTTTTCAGTAGCTTTCAATGTTATTGAATCCTCTGTTTTCCAAAATGGTGTTCGATGGTGCTGAACGATTTGACTTTAATTGCGAATTTGATTGTTGGTCTGTTCGTCGGTGAACAGACCAACAACCAAACAGCGCACCCGAGCTACCTACATTCCACAACATTTAATTGCTAATGTTACTTGCGTCATCTATTCGCTGGGGGCGAGATGGCCCAGGTGGTTAGAGCGCGAATTTATTGACCAGAAGGTCCGTGGTTTGAACCCGACCTCTGCCTCTCGACTTCCCTGTCTAGGCTTGGGCAACCTGGCAGTATCCCAGCCCTCGTGCAGCCTTCGGGTGGGATGGCATCTAGGCACCAGAAGTGTGTTATAACTGAACGATTTTTTATCCACTGGGTTTGCTCATCGGGGACACGTTTTTCCCAGTTCTTGTTCTCTCCCTTTTATTCCCAACAGATGCGGTACATTGTGGAAACACAGGGGCCCCCTCCTCCGGATTTATTACAGAACGCAGGGAAATGTAGCACCTTTTTTATTCGGGATCCGTATCACTGTGATTGGAGACTAAAAACTCAGGAAGAATACACCTTAGAAACTGGTCAACAAGCGAAAGAGGCGCGAAAATACTTCTTCACTTCGCTGAGTCAAATCTGTGAAGTACCCGGAGTCCCATCACCGAGTGATCCAGACCGAGAGCTGGACATCGAAGACAGACAGCAGTTCGCATCCCTATTGTCGCTCATGTTGAAGATGCGTCCCAGCGAACGGGTGGTCCCTGACAGTGCCCTTTTACATCCTTTCATCACAATGCTGCACCTACAGGCTTACCCTTTTTCCAAACGGTATGTTCATCATTTTTTTAGTCACTTCTCTGGATCGACACGTGCGTGAGGTTGCACTTAGCCTGTACTTAGCCTGTATGCACTTATCATGCTTAATCTGGAAGTATTATCTCCATTTTCATCCACAGACAAGCTGATTCTCTTCATATGTGTATCAGATTAGTATCGATTTAGTATATAACTGGATGATCAGAAGAAGGTATTAAACCCCAGAGCTCGTTTGCGTTTCCGTGAAGTGAGAATTCGATTATTGTACACAATAGTGACTGGGTCTATCAGCATGGACTACTGTAGGTATCCCACACACTATCGTTCTAGCTTTTACTCTTGAAATGTCTACTGTTCTTACTGTAACTACGTGGTAAGCTGTCTTTTTTTCCTCCAACAATCAACTTGCTTTGATTTTCGTCTGTTTTCCAGCTTCCACGAATCTCTTACCCTCATGCAAGTTTGTCACGAGGCGACTCGTAGACAGCACCTTTTGTCTGCACGGTCCAATTTGCAGCAGTTCAGCTCGCTGCCATCCTTGCATGAGCATTCGTCGACAGGGATAATATCTACCGCTCCATCTCCCGACAGTTCAACCACGAAAGCAATGCTGGGGCCGGAGGCTAGCATTTCTCTCCCACACACGTCGATGTGTCATCCTAGTGGCTCAGCGGTCGCCTACTATGCTGCGGCAGCCGTTGCTGCCGCACTTACAAAACCTGCTTCGCAGTCCGTTGTGGAAGAACGGATGTTCTCCGATCCTAATAACTTGCGTCATTATAGGATGCCGAATTTAGTTAATGATACCAATCAGCAGTCATCTGTCACCATATTCAACAACACACAGAGCTGCGCAACCGCTATGGAACCCTCTCCCACCACCGTATTTTTGGCCCATCCAAAAGCGGATGTTTATCAAAGCACACAAGATGTTCATTCTGGATTCCTCGGCAACCGTGTTTCCGTACCCTATTCACTGTCACTTTACGACCTTGTCGCAGCTAGTGGCAACGCTCTTTCATTATTGAATGCCGTTGCGGCTCCTGTATCTTCCAATTTTGTTGCCGCATCTGTCTCTAATCACCAACGCGTGTCCTCTCACAGTTCCCGGGGTTGTCTTTATCAGCTAAGGCAACCACCCATCAACAGGTCGGAACTCGACCCTCGGCTTCCTGCGGAACAAGCAGAGGAAGCTGCTCTGGTTCTGAGTTCTTACATTGGTCAGGAACAAAGCCAGCTGCACCGCTGTGAACCCTATATTTCGGTGAACGTCGCGCCAACTACTGTTTCTTCGACATCACTAGAAACCGTGGATTTACGTGACAGATTAAATGCGTTCGTGCAGCAGCAGCAACAACAACATCAGCAGCAGCAACAACAGCAACAACTCTACCGTAATCCAGCAGCTGCTTTTGTCGCTGTTCAACAACGCCAACAGCAGCAACAACCTCAGCAACACCACATTCTTTCTAGCCACCAACCTCAGGAACCAATTCTGTTTGCCCCATCGGCTGCTGAACTGAACTCACTGCACGTGACCAATCCTTACCAAACTGGATTACTTCCCAGAACGAGAGCGTTGGTTCAGTGCTCTGTCCCAACTTCACAACAACGTATTCAGTTCCACCAAGCTAAACAACGACAAACTGCAGTGAACTTTCAAAGCATTCCAGCCACTCGAGTTGTTGCCACTCATCTGGTAAGTGCTTTAGTATGTGGTTCGACTTCTGATGATGATATTTAAAGGAGAGTAAATTTTCTCCCAGCTACCATCATCATTGACGGCACAAAATAATTGTTTGGTATTCATGCATCGCTATGGTACAACCGTGATTTGTTTGAAGGCCTTATCGTGAATTTACTGACCGGAAGGTCCGTGGTTCGAACCCGACCTCTGTCTCTGAAATTCTCCTGTCCAGGCTTGGGCAATCTGACAGTATCCCAGCCCTCTTGCTTCTTTTGGTGGCATGGCAGTTAGACACCGAAAGGGTACCACAGCTGGACGATTTTAAGAAAAAAACTTTTTTCTCTTATTGTGAAGAAAGAAATGAAAATAAATACAGATGGGGACTAGTGTTAGTTTACCATAGTACTTCTGAGGTGCTTACTGTTCTAGGCACTCATTCAGACAATCTGGATAGGAGCTAACAACGAGAGCACCACTGAAATGGATTAGCAGTAATGTCGTACACCGTCTCCGGACATTCAAAAGGGGATCATACGGACCCCGTGATACTGTGCTATATCTTCCTTTTATAATTCGACAAAGAGGCCGTTGGTTTGTAAATCAAGACCGGAAGCTACTGAGGCTGTTGTCCCAGACAAAGTACTTCCCACCTTTTTGGCCGTCAAGGTCATCACTTTGTACCCTCCAGGTGCAGTATACTCTTTGCTGAGGATTCGTGGTATTTTCCAACGTATGCATCACTAACACATACATACAGTAGAATTTTTAGTAACTCCTGACTGGCTCAAATATGTGGGAATGTCGGATTCTGCTTCTACCACACTTGGACTAGCCTTCACACTTCTTTACAAGAAGGAAGGTGATTGCTTCAAAAGTTCTCTTCTAATTCCACTAATTTGAGAACCGCCCACCTTGAAACAGTATGTCGAATAGAGAAGGACTGATAGGGAGGCTCATTTACTTTGGTTGCTTCCGTTTACCTTGGTGAAAACTTCAGGAAGGTATGTATCATCAATTGGGGATGAAGATGGGTCAGCGGCAGGTAGTACTTATACAAGAATGGTAAACGCGTTACCCTTTTCGCCAGTATTGAGAAATTTTACGGTTGTGGAAACGTGGAAGTGTATTTTTTTCATACTGTTTTCTGTGGCAGGTCTGATAGAATCCTTCTGCTTGTTATGATGCTAGACTGGCTTCAAGGAATGCTGATCCCATGAAAAGAGAATTGATCAGAACCACATTGTCTGCACGGACTGATTGCCAGAGTGGCTTGTGTATTCCAGATAATTGTGGAGAACCAACTCGTCGATACGCAGCATTTTAAAGAACTGTCCGGCCAAGGAATCAAACAGGGCATCTCAGCGAGACGTCATCAATTCAACCCGAAAACATCCCTCGCCACTCCGTGTCGGGTAAAGCCACCCGTTAATCTAGTGTCCACAAATACGCACACCTTCGTTTTCATCAGTCACTGTCTCATCGAAACGTAATGTTTAGTGTAAAGAACCCGAAATCCAATTGTAGAAGTGAAATGGGAGTTGACGCAGTCACCTGGATTTAGGCTGGTTATCTCGGGCTAACTAAGATACCCAGTTGGTTACTCCCTTAGGGCATCTCACTGACATTTCTGATGAGAACGGGTGTCCCGTTGTGAAGCTATTATCAGAATTCGGATAAAATACCTTTCAGGGTTGGGTTCGAAGGATGGATGTGGGAGGTAACTCATGAAATGTCTCTGGACTCTGTCATGGTGTAAACGGAGATCGAGAGAATCAACAATCAATCGTGCTTTGAGACTGAAGAGCTAGAGGCATTTCAAGGATAGATACCTTTGATATTGCACTCAAATCCCTATATGCCTATTGGCTCAGTGAACATAACCATAAGATGCAACACCGTAACATCTGCAGGAATACCGATAAGCACGATCCACTTGAAAGACAGGATGACACATTTTGTGCTTAGCAATTCGCCCGCAAAAGCCCTGTTCAACTGGCTTGCTTCTCTGTTCATTCCAGTTGTCTGGATCGAGACTACAACCCCAGGCGGGTATTGTCAAACCAATTTATACCGCGGCCATTCCACTGATGAGCAATCCTGCGGTATACGTTCAGGAGCTGCCACAGAACTATACTACCCTCCTTCAGCAACAGCCTCACCACCATGGACCCAAGATCACTCCATCTTACCCCCGCTCGGCAAGTCCGTCCTCGACGATGGCAAGAAACAATCAACTACTGACGGCAACAGATCAAACATTGCCGATTAATTTGGTCACGAGCGCAGAGTTGGACATTGGCAGAGAACGGCCTCCAATAACGCCAGAGACTTCCAAATGGGCTCCGGATCTTGTGAGTGATTACTCCACAACACAACTGCGCCTCACTCCTGAGCGCGTGAATGATTCTCGGCCAAAATCAATCCCCTCCTTATCGGGTGCGGAATGTTCGCACGTTAATGCTTGTTGTAAGTTTCTCCTACACCTTTCAATTGTTTTATTTTGCTTGGTGTTATTCAAGCATGTTTAGCTCATAATGGAGCCATCAAACCACGAGACGGTCAGCTCAGCTCGGTTTAACACTCATAGGGAGTAATTGGTCCCAGCTGACCGCTTTTTTCGAGACCGCCAACTAACAGCCACCTTAGAGCCACTACGTTCAGTCTAAAGTCGCTTACAATGCGGCTCAGTGTTTTTTTAAATAAAAAGTCTAATTTACTGCCCACACCCTTTTCAGGATGCGAGTCACATGAACGAGATGTGGTTGAATGGTCTTATAGTCTTGGGGCACTCTGACTAAACTGAATTAGATGTTTACATTCGTATCTGTCTAACTTGAACAGTCCTCTTTCCTTCCTGACACACTTGCTGTGACTACTCTGCACCAAAAAAGAAAGCACCGCAATTGAGTTTTATTCTTGCTGGAGCTCATCAGTGTTGGTCGTACCGGGATTTTAACAGGATATCACTAGCTGGTACTGCGGCTATGCGTATGTACACTGTTTTGTACTCCTTCGACTTGAGCACACACCAAGCACATGTTCTTGTTGGCATGGTGCCGCTCCGTGTGTTGGAATAATGTGGCGACAGCACACACAATCCCTAGTTTTTCCGTGCACAACGATTCTCATTTTGAACTCGATGCAGAGCAAACCTCGGGTCCAATGGGGACTTCGTTCGTCTCTTGTGCAACCTGCCCTTGACCGATGGGCTGCAGTCGGTTTGGGATTGCTGTATAGTTGCCACTCTCACTGCAACGACCCAAGGGTTGCTGTACATACAGTGAGTTAGTCACAACGTCGTATCCTGTCAAGTCAAATTAATCCCAGACATCAGTACTAGGCATCGAATAGCCGGTACTGGAAGCTGTAACTGTCCGGATACCCAAGCCAGCAACATAACTTATGCATCACTACTTATAGCTACCTTGACGATAACGACACTCCTTAACCCAGTCGTGTTCGGTGCATGGTACTTGCGAGATTATGGCTGTTTGTCCTCTCAGATTACGATCAATTCTCTAATGCGAACAAATTTGTTCCACTTTTTCACTTTATATGATTTCTGTCTACTTTCATATTTGTGTGATTTATTAGCCAATATGAGCCGTCACAGAAACCAAGCTTTGCTCGTCTTTGTCGTAATCTGTTGTAGGAGGTAGTCACTGCTAGGTAGTTTCAAAATGTGTCGGTGAGTCCACCAAATGCTTGATGATACAACAGGCCTTTGACAGATAACCGGCTTCATTTAGTCAAACCCGACCTATATAAGGCTGAACGATTACCTGAGTGCGTCGAATACTTAGTGTGAAAAATTTTAATGGATAAAGTTAGGGTGGATAAATACAGAGCTTAGTGAGAAATGTCTTCGCCCTACCAACAACCGTGAGTTATCCGAAAAAAATTGGAGCAACACCAGACGCTCCGCCAATCGATTACTTTGGAAACTGAACCGAAACTGAACCCTTAAGTGTCCCTTTTATATCGCGCTATACTAACCTACATGCAGCTTCCTGGCTTAACTACTTCATATAACATCCGTTTTGCAGGTCAATCGTGTGCAGTAATAAGTAGCGCCACTACCACACGGTTCGAAACATCCGACGGTGAGAACCATCTCGCAACTTCTGTGGAGTCTTCTTTGTCAGAATGTGTCCAACCAACCACGTTCCAAAATAGCACTGCGAATACCACGTCAACCACGGCATCTTCCAATCCCGAAAAGCTCGCTGGCCTAAACAGCAGGTGAGAATATATAACAATTGCCCGTTCAGTTTGGTCGTCATTGCGTTCAGCGCGTACTGTTTGTCACTTGGTGATTGTCCTTAGCTTATGTTGACCTTGACTGTTTCATTAAATCTATCCCCTCTTAGATGTGATTATCCAATTTTCTGAAGTTGTATTCTCGTTTGAGGACATTGCAGGGCTGCTTTGTGTGTATCTAAGTATGTGTTTCAGTGCCGTGCTGAGACCTAACTATATGCCACTGTTGTCATGAATCGTGTCCCTGTTCAGTGACCCGCTTTGTTGGTTACTAGCTGATCCATTTGAAGGGCACAGTTGCTTTACTGCCCGCCCGAAACTAACAATATACTACACCAATTCCTAGCATATCCTTACACCAGACTACTTTGGGTTGGTTTTTCAGTCTGTGTTACTCTGAATGATGTCTGTAATGAGGCTTGTCTAGTATGTAGCATAAACACACGTACAGAGCTTGTTGCGGGTCTTAGGTCTAGTGGCCTGCTGTCTGTGCATTGTGCTACCCTCATCTGAAAACCAGAGTATAACTGTTAAGCTCAGTGGTACGAACATTAAAGGCTACTTCAATAAGAGAACTCTTTCATGCGGATCTGCTAACTCATACGTTTCTGGCCCGTTCAAGAGCACGCACAGGTTATCGTTGAATTGTTATATGCTCTTGATGTTGTCTAGGAGGGATGTCACCTCTTTTGTATCGAACCGGATGGCTCGAGCTTCTGCTTAGTATGTGGTTCAGTATACCCTCACGGTGTTCTGTTTAACTGATAAGTCTTGTCACGTGGGCGCTGTCCTCCGCGTGTGCATCCATGGGACGTATGTTTTCTCATTTCATCACGCAAATTCTGAAACTGTGACCCAACTTTTTAGAATTCCCATTATTCTGGCTGACTCATTTAACATCTTTATGGTTTCAGTACACCAACGGGACACGACGAAGTTAGGTGAGCTCTAACGGAACTACCGGGACAATAAAGCGTTGGCGTTGAGCATTGATGCGGCACTGTTCGTACCTAGTGGGTACCTAGTGGGTAGAAACCGCGAGACAGCGAGATGTCTCAGTGGTTGGAGCGCGAATTTACTGATCTGAAGGTCAGACACTACGGATGAGATCCCGAAACAAAACCCGAGATCCTGCTGCATTCCTGTTGAGACTTGAATCAAAGGGCCAAGTTGAAGTACTCAAACACATCCCATTCCTCGGTAGGGACTAAACCGACACGTTTGATTAATTTCAATTTCTTTTAGTTACCTATCACACACCGCTCCTGCGTTTCTCGCCTTTTGACCCTTAGCCTTGAACTCAAAATCAGCAAAAGTGCTCCGCTTAGGCCAGATCATCCGTTCCACGTAGCAGCGTCCGATGTTCTGTCTTTGTTCAATTGGTCAGATGGATTCTGTCACCCGATCTTCGTCATTTTTGAAAATCAGTACATGCTGTACACTTTTTGGATATAGGCTCACGTTAGGCGACCTAGCGACAGAAATCGCCACTTTGGTGGTAATTTGGGGTTCCCGCCTTAAGCACAGACTGTGGCAGTCGATTCATTCAGTTGCGCGTAGGCTGTTCCCAGTTCCGAATAACACGTCTTGGTACTAGGTATTCTCCGAACCACAGGTAATTTTTCTCGTGGTCAGGTCATATAACAATCGACTGTCGATATTGGCCGCGTACTCAAGACTTTCATTACTTTCGGAACACCTTCAAGGACTCGGCCGTGCTGTGGCACAAGTTCTTCTTGCAGTATGGTTTTCGTCACTGAATCAAAGACTCGCTTCTCAGTTCGAAAAGCATTGCCGACAAGACCTCCCGATAGGAGGAAAGTAACAACCAGACTTATCTGAGCTGCTTCCAACGGCAGCCTTGACAGAAAAGAACGGAATGATTTAAAGAAATTTCAGGTTAATCTGACTACAGTCTTTCATGCTGCTTGCTCGACAACCCATTTGCAACAGAATTGTTAGTGTATGTCAAAACGCCATATCTCATATTGGGAAGAGGATAAACATCTCACCAGGATGACAGTGGTACTACCCCAAGATCGACCGATAGACGATTTACGTGGGAATTAATTGGTGAAAAGCAGCCACTGGATACAGTCACTGGAAATAGCCAGTCCTGTTATCCAGTCGCAAAACAGTCGTCTGCAACTTTGCGCAAAGCACTGAAAATCGTTTCAGCCGGCCTTCTGGTCTAAGAATGCTGCTGAAATCAGCGGCTTGTGTGAAATGGGAAGTCAACTGCAAATCTCTACAAAGAAACAGCTTTTGAAAAGACACAAGGCACCTTGTCCCAATTTTCTCGCCGACCGCTTCCAAGGACGATGGAGTAGTGCGTACGTATAAGAGTACACGTTTGATGTATTGTTAAAGAAAAGAGCAACGAGCGCCGTCGATTTTTATTCTTGCTTTGGAAAAAAATTCTATAGAACAGAGCACTGAAGCAGCGGAGCTGAGTAGCACTGTGATTGCCTCAAAAATCCTTCCGGTTGTCACTCTTTCAAGACTCAGAATCTCCGGTGAACAGCATATCCGTGAAAACCGGGCAGGTTTTTTCGCGGGTCCTGGGTGCATTCACTGTGTCTCCACCCTTCGACAACTTAAACATCGCCATACTCACAGACTACTAACAACACTTTCCTTCCTCAGTGTCCATAGCTCAGTGGTTAGAGTGAGAATTTACTGACCGGAAGGTCCGTGGTTCCAACCCGATCTCTGTTTTTCGACCTCCCCTGCCTAGGTTGGGCAACCTGACAGTATCCCAGCACTCGTGCTTCCTTCGGGAGGCATTGAAGCTAGGCCACTCAACCAATAAAGACATTTTCGAAATCGTCATGTCACTTTTCTCACTTATGCAACAACGTTGTAAAGGTAGACGGGGAAACTCCTGAGTTTGCTATCATAAGTGGTGTTCCGGCGGAGCTACGCTCTGTCGCCCTCTCCTTTCACCCCGAAAGAGGCATCGCTCAAACCGTCTACTGTTTCGCGAGTCGGGCCATCCGTCGTAGAACTCAGTAATTTAAAATGTGCGGATGGCAGTGTTGTTTAGTTCATACTCTATCAAGAGACAAAATACCTTGAGTAAGTTGGATCACTTAGCTTCTGGTTTCGGGATGCGCTTTGCACCGTCAACGTTGCTCACGATTACACCACCCTGGGGGTGCAGCCCAACTATCTGTACCAGCCACTGGGCTTACCTGAATAAGCTG